CATGTGTGAGAAATGATTCTACAAATTCATCAAGGCTAAACTTTTTGAGATCCTAGCTTATTGAAAAACGATTATCTTTATATTTCATAATCTTATTAGAGAGCTAAGAAAGTTTCTCATCACTTCATCATTAGTATAAATTTTGTCAAAGATTTTAAACTATTAATTATGTCAGATGGATCTAGTGAACATGTCCATAATAGATTTATTTTCATATATTTTGAAAATTTCATAATTATGTGATAACATGTTTATTTTAGATTCTTTGACTTGATTTTTTTCTTATGAGTCATTTCATATCTCTTATTTTCTCTATATAAAATTAGATATAGATGTTTATCGCATTATAAAAAATTTAAGAAAAGAAATGTGGAGAGGACCTAAAAAAAAATGTGTATATATATAGACTCAATTTTATAATGCTTTAATTAAACATCTAAAATCCTAAATTTTTATAAAAAATTTCTTATGTAAAAGAGAATAAGAGATAGATAGCAAATAGGAAAATCTTTTAGTTACATGATTGAGACGAAAATGTCATTGTGCGAAAAATTGTACTTGCAATTTAATTAGGAGTTAAAGTATGTTTGAACGGATAATAATCATGTTTATATTATGCTATTAAAATTACAAATAAGTCTACTTATCCTTCTATTTTTATTTTTGGTGTATTTTTAAAGCATAGTTATTTTTTTTAATAAATTCTTTTTGAATTTATGGAATCCCTAAAATCTAATCAGTGGTGAAGATTGGAAGAACATTAACCAAAAACTGGTCAATATATTAGTTTTTATTTTGGAATAGTGAGTACTTTAAATGTTGGTGCCATTTGAATTTATACTATTTTATATTAAGTTATACTACATATATAAATCATAATATTTTTTCTCTAACTATAATTAAATTCAATAGTTTAAAAAATTATAACCTATTTTTTATTTTTCGGATAAACAATACAAATAATCAATACTGAAAAATTGTATAATTTTCTTAAAAAATACAATATAAACTCATCTAGAAAAATTATAAAATCTTAAAAACAATCTAATCATCTTGATTCAAATGAAATCATATATCTTCGAAGATTACAATCGAGGAACTTTGACTGAAATTTATCAATACGCTATGACTTTGATTTAAGAATTTTTTTTTTTAGAAAAAAAATTGATTTGAAAAAATTTGTTGATTGTTTGAATAGTTAGCCAAATTATTAAAATAAGAATTAAATTCTATTTTAGCTCCTAATTTATTAGGAACATCCAAAGAATTAGAACTTTACAAACTTATTTTCAGATTTTATCTCATGTCCAACTATATATATATATATATATGGAAATTGAGATTTAGAGAAAGAAATACATTTAGCCAATTGTATTATCTGCTATTAGTATTAGATAACGATAGATATAATTACAATCCTAAATGTTTTAAGTATATTAACAACATTTTATTTAAACTATGCAATAATTTTTTTCCAAAGAAAGACCTACAAAATGGTCTCCCAGCTTATTCCATCAAACGACACCGTTGTGGTGCCGATTCTTTTCTTCCCTTCCAGCTTCACTAAAGAGCAGAGAGAGGCCAAGAGCTTACAGGAAGAAAACAAGAGAGAGAGAGAGAGAGAGAGAGAGAGAACAAGAAAGGAAGCTCGTGGGAAAGAGAAAAAAGACGAAAAAAAAAAACTGAGAAAATTGTGGTGAGTAGAGGAGAAAGATGAGGATAAAGTTGTCTATGCAAAAAAGGTCAACCAGATGATATCACTACAACAAAAGGAGAAGAATTCCCGGCGCTTTCTCCAGACACTGTGGCTAAAATATGATTATAATTGACTCTACTGTTTTCGAAGACATAATGTTAATATATTCATGTAGACACATTATTTTATAGTTATATTAGACATATTTTGCTGTCATTCGAGATTATCAAAAAAAAAAAATGAGAAATTAGATTGAAATTAATAGGTATATTCATAATGAAGAAATTTTGTTACTATATAGTCAATAAATC